TAATCGAGGCCTCCTGCACCTAAGGTTTCCATATCTAGTCTCATCTTTCATCTATCTAACTTCATTTGAGATTAAGGAAAGACAGACAGATGACAGTGGAAATTTATAGGTCTACAATTTTTCCAAATTGCAGTCCAATTACTAGCTTGTTTTAATCAAAAACATTCATATAAAAAAACTAAAATTTCATTTCTGAAACAAATAAAAACAAACAGAAATAACTTAAAAATAATATTTAAAAGCATTTATTATAAAAACTAAATTTCTAAATCATTGTATCCCTTATTCATCTTTACCATGTGATTCACATTAACTAATCATACAGTTAAGGGAAGAAGAAAACCAAAAATGAATAAAGATACATAAAAACAAATATGCTTTTAACTTTAATTTTGAGGAACATTCTAAATTTGAAATTTATTTGCAGTTTTGATATTAATATTTATTTATATAGTTTATACAATGTAATTTTCTGATACTTCAAAGATAAGTGCAGACATGGACATTGATTTCCCTCTTCATTTTTGGCTCTTTTCCATCCTGTAGGTATTAAGAGAGCCTTTTTTTCAAACCATTATGGGTTCGGTCAGGCCCATAATTAGATGGCAGAGCAGCAAAGAACATGACCCAACATATCCAAGACAATTTGCCCATAAAAACTTTGAGGTTGCTTACCCAGATTTGATTCTGGGTCTCCTAGAACAGTAGGCTGACAAATTAATCATCTCAGCTGATTGGCAATCAGAAAGCTTTGGTTATTTGTTTATATATACAACCAAGCATTTTGATTATTTGGGAAAATCATTCTTTCTTTCTTTTGAAGCTTTAAAACTGTAATTATCTTCTTTATGATTTACTTAAGAAATATCTGAAATTTACAAGACTTTTTACAATATCGTAGCTTATGATGTACTTTGTGAATATAATACTTTTTGCAACTGGCAACTTGTGATAAATTTTCTTGTAAACTTTCGAAAAGTCTTATTAAGATTTAAGTTATGATACAAGGGTGAATCCGAGCCCAGGATACTAATTGGATAATATTTTGAGTATATGAATATGTCTATTGTGCTACTGAATTCAAATGCTCTGTTAACTGTTAATATTTATGAAAAATCATTGTAAATTTTTTGCATTAAGTAAATAACTTATTTTGGTTTCATTTGAATTTGTACACTTATAAATTTATATTATAGATAGCATTAATAATTATAGTAAATGTAAAAACATTTTCTTCAATTTTACTTCTGTTAAAGTTAGATAAATTGAACTCTACCTTGTGATTTAAATTATAGCTTAAATGATATAAAAAAAATTTTATTTGTATTTTGTAATAAAATACTATACAATACAAAAGTAATTAATTTTTAAAAATATAACTAGATAATTCATATATTTTAATTTTAGTAGTACTGAACAATATAAATCTATTCTGTATGTGAAGGATTCAACAGCATATTAATCTTAAGAATTTTAACAAATTATATTCATATGTAATACCAGTAAGTTTCAAAATATATTAAAAATCTAATTAAAATTAAATGCATAATTACATAAGAATGAAAACATATCCATGAAAAGTAAAAGTGAATTGCAGTGTTTCTACATAATATACAGTGGACAATCGGTTAACGAACATAATCCATTCCAAGACTTTGTTCGTTATCCGATTATCGATTTACCATAGGTTTTTATGGGAATTTGATTAATTTAATTTGTTCCGGAGACTCTAAAAAGTAAAAAATATATACTTTTTTACTACGTTTATTTATATGTAATAGTAAAAATATGTATATATGCAGTCTTGCACTTTTATTAGTCATGTTTTTTTCTGTTTGTGGGGGTTAAAGAATCTGTCCGTTGTTGATTGCTTTTCTCTTTCCTTCAGGACTTCTCGGAAGTAATTAATAGTATTGTAATTGTAGAGATCCCCAACCCCATTAACCTTATTCTGGTTTGGATGCCACTTAAATGACTGTTGTTCTGACATTCCTGGAGTTCTGTCGTCAGATAAGTTTCAGGTTCGATTATGAGCTCTAAAATGATCTTTATTTCTTAGATGTGATTTTCATTATTCCATTAGCAGCTTGAGATTTCTTGATATATCTTTCATAACTAAGACTGTGCCTACTGTAGACCTGTTCAAGCCATACTGCCTAGCAACATCAGACATCTTGTGCCCACTTTCTACATTGGCTACTCTTACTTGGTTTCTACGGTGAGCACAGTTCTTGACTCTCCTCTTTTTAGGCTCCGTAATATTATCAGTTTCTTTTTTAAATAAAATGTTCAGAAAAGCACTTACAAAAATTCAGAGAACAGAAATCAACTAGCCCACAAAAAATTATTTAAATGCAAGGCCCGGATGAAATTCAAAATTTGGTATTAAAACGTTAACAAATATCCAATGGGACAGTTAAACTTTCACCTTTCATAAATAAGCCCCGACGCAAAACTTAACAAGTATCCATCCGACAGTTTCACAAAGACTATAAAAAATTATTTGTCAGAAAGGTAAACAAAAAGCTGGAATTACAAGGGAGAGTTTCAAAATTTGGAGGAATATTAATACTATCCAATCAGTATCAGGTTGAGTGTTAATGGAGATGTCTCCTGCATTCCGAAAGGTTTTGAATTGTTACCTGAAGACAAGTGAAAAATCAATCGATATTTGTTACTTTCCGTTGCTTCTTTTTATATTTGTTCAGTAAAGTGTTCGTTGTCCAATCATAAAAATCTTTTGCAAAAGTGTTCGTTATCTGATTTTTTCACTATCCAAACTGTTTGTTAACCAATCACCCACTGTGTATATATATATATATATTATCTATATGTATATAATAATATAATATATTTTGTTTAAAAATAATAATGTTATTGAACTTATGAAATAATTTGCATAAAATCTCATAAGTTTAATTCAAGCTATCTTATATGAATGTTATTGATTTAGATGAAATATAAGATACAACATAAAATTAACTGTTTTCATAAAAGAAAATATTTTTTTAAAGTATCAAATGTGAATAAAATTTCTATTTATTATTATTTTTGTTCTAGCAATGAAGTGTATTTTACAACAGTTCTTAAACAAAATTTGTTACTGCATAAGAAAGAAAATTAACTAATTTTCTTACTAAACAAACAAAAAAAATATTCTTGATAAATACAAAAACAAGCTTAAATAAAGAAATTAAAAAACACTAAATTTTAATTCTTAATGTTTGTATCTATGTAGGACTTTGTTAATTTATTTATATTATAATTTAAAAAGATATTCTGCTAATTAATTTATTTACATTTTTTATTATTATTGTTAATTTTATAAATTTGCATTGGTTCTAAATTTAAAACATTTCATTTTTATATTTTCTGTTGTTTTCTGTTCCAATACATTAGCTTCTGAAAATAAAATTTTATATTTTGAAATGTTAAATCTTAATTCCAGATATTTTTTACTTGGACTGACTTTTTGTTTTACTAGTTTCTTAAATATGGAATGGAATTTATAAATACAGCAAACAACATTGTTTGTATATTATAATGGCTTCAATAATTCTTTTCAAATTAAACTTGAAAAGGAGAAAAAAATTTTCCATCTAATAAAATTGAAAAGTTCTAAAACAGTTTTGTAAATATAAATTTATTTTTATTTAATTTAGGACTTTAAAACAGTTTAGCAAAATAAACATAAAATAAATAAACAAAAGATAAGTCATAAGTACCTAAAGACAGCTTAAAATTTGAAATATTTATTAATAAAAACTAAAGTTTACTAATCCATCTTACTTAAAATACATGTTTTAAGCATAGATGATGATCACACTTCACGTAATAAGAAGTAAAATCTTTCTCTACAATAATTTTAATATAAGATTCTAAAAGTGAAGTGAAAGTCTGGAGAAATTTTGTTTTATTAACACATTAATTTGATTTTAAGTTCTTTAGTGAACTTTGAAGTTGCAATAATTTTTTAATTCCATTTATCTATACTACTATATAAAGAGAGAATGTATTTTTAGTTTGTTCCAACTAACCACAAAAACTACTGAACCAATCATTACCAAATTTTAACTGTAGCACCTTTATGATCCCTGGAATGTTTATCACTAATCAAACCTACAGATTTTTTATTAATTAAATAAAGCTACAATGGATTTCTGTCTGTCTATTTGTCTCTCTCCTCACTAGATGGTGGCAACACATAAATTAGTACTTCCTGTCAAGGCATTATCAAGTATATTATTGAAGTTCACTATTATATTTGAAGAACTGATATTAAATTATAATTAGTTAACTTGCAAAATCTTTGAGGAATTAAAAAAGTGACATCATCATGCTAGATCACAGTATATATATATATGTACATATGGTGGGTTTTTGAATCATTACATATTGTATTCATGATTTGTTAGGCCTAGCTGTATTTGCATGAGTTTTATTTATTTGTGTGAGCAAAGATTATGCCTACTCAAAAACGACAAATCTTTGGTGCAAAAAACTCTGAAGTGCTTTCATTTATGACACACTCTTAGACTATTCATCATCAGCTAATATTGGGTCTATAGATAAAACGCCTACAATTTCCAGTCGATCTATGCTTTGCAATGACCATTAGCAAATCTCAAGGCCAAAGCCCGAGAGTTGTAGGACTTGACCTAAGATGCAGTTGCTTTTCACATGGCCAACTCTATGTTGCGTGTTAGTAGCTGCAAATCTGCTCATTNTCTCCCTCCAAGTTGTTATTTAATTTCCCTGAGAAAATAAATGTATCTTCTACATGTTGTTTACACTAATGGAAACCACATTTGTCACTTTTGCAAAAAAAAAAAAAAAAAAGGTAAATTTTGTAGTCATTACAAATTTAAAAACAGAAATTTGTGATGTTATTAATTGATAACACACAACAAAATTTCCACAAAGAAAAATATATTTAATACTTTAAACAAAAAATATTTTAACACTATATTAAATAATAATAAAGTACAAAATTCACTTGCCTGATATAAAATGTTAGCCCACTTTCCCTTTAAATCTTTATCATTTATGGTCAAGAGTTTGGCTTGAAGATGACGAAACACTGGACGGTAATTATATAATCGTCTTTTATGATGACTTAAGGCAAAATCTATCCTTTGTTGCAAACTCCAGAAATGTGATGATAAGAAGTAACGAGGAAATAAATAACTGTTACAGAAAACATATTTTCAGTCATAGCAATTTTTTTTTCTATTAGTATTTGTTAATTGTTAATTTTCTGTTACTTACGCTAAAGGAAAAACAACATAATTTACAAATGGAAGAGTTGAAATGAGTAAAACAGGTACAACTTTTTTCATATCTTTCGGAATCTAAAAATAAAACAAATCAGTTATCTAATATGTTCATATTTATAAAATATAAAATGTTTTAATACATACTTGAAAATATATTTCCAATTCCCTTCTTGTCAAATTCCTTACTGACTTTCCATAACGTAAATCATGAGATATTCTCATATATTCTTTTATATCTCGATATAATTCTTTGGTTCCTAGTTTTCAAATAAGATTTTTATATTATAAAAATAAATATATGAATAAGAAAAGTTAATATTTATAAAGGAAAGTCATCATTTACCTACAGAAAATACCTGATAAACTTTAAATGCACTGGGGAATTTATTCTGTAATATGATTTCGTATCCTTTAACAAATCTGCTAAATTTATTTTCAAAGTATTGTTTAAGTCCCTTTGCTGGTTTAACATATTTGCTTCCATTCTTACTTGTACTTCCGGTACTATATAGCCTAGGGGGGGAAAAGTAACAGTGAAAATTAATTTCATTTATTTTTATTTAATATTTTCAAACCATAGCAATCTGTTAATAGTCTATATATAATATTCCTAATTCTTCATGTCTGAAGGTTAACATTATTTATATCAAATATAAACATGAAAGAATAGTACATTATAATGAACAATTAGTTGGCACATGCAATGCATCAAAATTGAAATTATTGTGTTTCATTTAACTACCAATATCTCAAAATAATTATTGATAAATTAAGAAATATTTCTAAGAATTTATCTGTAGATTTTCATGTGGATATGGAATATATTAATAATGTTAAATTAATTAAATATATGTATGATAAGTCTTAATAAATTTTTCTATTGCTCTTCTAATAAATGATTGTAATCCCAGTAATTTTTCATGAGCAGTCTTTTCCCAAGTATGCCAAGAACCTTGTCCCTCATCACTGGTCCAACTATGGGCTTGGCAAAATTTAAGTTGGGTACGATTTTAAGACTCTCTTAGTGTCCATAGAGCAGAAAAGATTAAAAGTGAAAAAATAAAGGATTTAAAAAAATTAATAATAATAATTAGAAAAATAGCATTAAGATACAAAAAAAAAACTTTTTTGTGAATTTTCCAAATATAAACTTTTTGTTTTGGCAATTTTACAAATAGCTTTAAGATCTTTCAGAATCCTAATGTAATGCCATTCATTATGTTTAAATCATTATTTTTCGATAAAATTTTCCAATTTTCACCATCATATTTATTAAATATAGTGGTGAAAATTGGAAAATTTTATGGTGGTGATAAAATATGGTGCTATTTATATAAATAGCACCATATTAATATTAGATATGATAACAATATTAATTAGTGATAGTTATCCTTCCCTTCTTAATGAATATGTTCAGTAATCATTATTTTTCATTTCTTTTACATTAACTGAAATATCTGTTAGAAAAAAAAATTGCATAGAATTAATCATTATAAAAGTAGAAAAACAAATTAATTGAAAATTAAAATAATTCCATCTTGATTAGTTATGCATTGTACTTTTTAATCACAAAATTTTAAAAGTTGTATAAGCAATGGACAATTTCAGAAATAAAATCTAGTCTAAACTAACTTATATCCTGTATGTGATTAATTCTTGTTATCTGTTGTTGTCCAGTTAAAAACCTTGGCTTAAATCAGGGGTCAGCAACCTGCATCTCCCATTCCACTCTCTAAATATATAGAACTTCTCAACTTATTACAGGTGAACAATCAGTGAATTATTAATTATAGCAAAATTATAGCAAAATTACAATATATCTTTATAGGTTAGAGATAGAACAAGTTTTTCATTAATGACCGTCTACTTTCATATCACATGATCAATTTTCTATTGCTTTCAAAAAAAGAGCTTCCTGACACAACCATATTTAAATGTATTAAACATTATTGTGTCAGGAAGCTTTTTTTCATAGTACACAGTCATTACTAATGTATATCTGTTTATCTCTTTTAAAAGTTTATGACTAGTAAATGTTACTAAGTAAATGGGAAAACTGATACAAAGTGAATATGGGAGAGATGCTGTTTGTAAATATAGCCATCCTTAACAGAATTATTGTAATTTTATATTATACTATCTTAAGTGAAATCTCTATTACAATGAACAACTATTTAAAATATCCAAGATTCACTACATCACAAAACCAATGAACAAGCATAAAAGAACTACTCATTTTGAGAAGAAAATGTTTTCATCCATTTTTAAAAGGACATCCTCAGGCTGGTGTTCTAAAATTCAAATTGCATGTTTTTGGAACTGATCATATCCTCCAATCATCAACAACTACATAAAGTATATGATCCAGTCTGAAAACGTGCAATTTGAATTTTAGAACACCAACCTGAGGATGTTCTTTTAAAAATGGATGAAAACATTTGCTTCTCAAAGATTTTTATGCTGGCTTATTGGTTTTGTGACATAGTGAATCTGATTAATATTACCAGTATTGGGATGTTGTTTTTATGATATATATAAAATGTATTAGTAAAAGAACAAAGTGTAAAAAGATTGATGATAAGAATATACTGAAATAATAATATTAAATAAAAAAAGCAATAAAAACACCTCAAAAGTTGGAAAATAATATAAATTGCATACACATGTAGTGGTTCCAGCAGGTACATTTATTAGAAAAAATTAACGTTTTTGATCAATTTCTGAGATCATCAGGTTATAATATGTTTCCATAAATCAAACGATGTTATTCGAGCAACTTTTTTAAAACAGAACATTCCATATGCCATGTGACAATATAAAAAAAAGCAATAGTAATGAAAAGAAAACAATTACAACACAGTTAAAACTAAAAGTAATAAAAGCTCTTAGCCAAATATTTTTTATTCTCAATTTAGCTAAGTTAAGAATACTCACCATAATAATAATTATTATGTTTGCACCTTAAAAAAAAAATATATATATGCCACTAATTACAATTCTATTGTATTAAAGACATTCTCATTTACATAGCCCATAGCTCTTGGCATTTGGTTTCTATTGAAAATTTAAAAAATTGGCTCTTGTTACAAAAAAGGTTGCCGATCATTGGCTTAAAACTAAATCCAATTCTTTATCATGGCTTAAGTATAAACTTTTTATTGCAATTAAACTAATGAGTTTTATTATTATTTGAAATGGTTCATTTCTTTTAACAATTAAACTAAATAGTAAACAAAAAATTGATTTTATATATGATTTATGAGATGTAAATTATAAATTTAACCATATAAAAAGATGCATAAAAATTAATGCACTTCTTTTAAAAAAATAAATTACTATTTAACATTTTTTAAGCTAAAAATTTGAAATAATAAAATTTGAAAATTTCAGATATATAAAATTTTATATATCTGAAATTTTGAATATATTCTACATATACATATATTCAAAATACATGTAATATATTTATGAATATTCAAACATTTAAACAGAATATCCTTATTATATAATACACAAGAATATACAGAATTTATATATCTGAAAAGTACATTACTTCAAGTTATTATGTATAATTGTAAATTTAATTATGAACATCTCCTTCAACATAATTGATTCTTTAAGTAAATAATCAAACATATTTATGGTATAAAGAAGCCAGAAATAGTTTATTTGAGAATGTAATATAATAAATACATTTTCAGAACTGGTTCATTCCATCATCAATTGCACAGCAGAAGTCAATCATGTAAAAAAATGATTAACTTCAGAATTTAAACATGCTATTTTAAATTTAATAATAGTTTTTTACTCCTTTCTAAGAGGGCCTTTCCACCAAATCTATTACAGGTTTAACCAGACCAACACTGGAGTGACTAGACAGCGAGGAACGTATTTGGACCAACCACCCGCCAAAAAGTTCCCAAGGTTTTTCAAGCCATCCAGATTTGATCCTGGATCTCTAGAGCGATAGACTGCCACCTTAACCAATCAATCAGTCATCCGGCCATGGCACAATCCTTGTTATGTGGCAGATTTCTAAAAATCAGGTGGCAAAACAAGAGTTGCGAAAATATTTATGCTTAAATAAATTATCTCCCACTTCTTTATGTCTTAAATGTTTGCATGCTTGTTTGTTATATATGTATAATGACAGCATATAGAATATCCTATATTACATATATTGTCATTATACATATCCTATATTATACATTCTATCTAAATGGTTTATTACTTCAAGTTATTATATAGTTTATCCTATGCAATTCTTGAGAAATTAATTGAATTTTAGAAAAAATTAGGTTGAGTCTAACCTAAAATACAATGAAAATGAGAGGATGACTCATTGCAAGATGCAATAAGCATCAATATGGCGTAGTGCACTGTCGAAATCATTTCATTTTGATATATATTTATATAATAGAATAGAATGCTTTTAAACAAGAAAAATATTCGTACATTTGTGAAATTGATTCATAAAAATAATAACAAACGTGTTAAATAATCAATTACAACACGTGGAAAACACGTTGGTATGCAAGCGTCGTACCGTTGTTTAAAGAAGAAAACGTTTTATGTTAAATGGCACAATGAAAGATTACCTTTGAGATGATATATCTTTAATAAACACAAGACGAAACCGGCAAATGCGAGATAACATATCAAATTCACTGTATTTGTATCACAGCTTCCATCTTGTTTTGGTCTGGTGTAGTTGTTAACTTTGACGACAGATGGCGGCAATGTTCGTCTTCGTTTCTGTTTTTTATCGATTAAGCCTTCATTTTTAGCTTTTCTATAAAATTTTTATAGAAAAATGCTTAATTTTTTAAGTTGAAAATTAATATTATCTCTTATATATAAAACTGACAGTTTGGTAAAGTACCGTTAGCTTTTTGTAATTCATTTGCCCCAATCTTCGGGAAAAAAAAGGGAAATTTTTATTCTTGTTTTTTAAAAAGATGTTGCTGATCGTTTCTTTAATATTGCTGATTTTAAAACATTTTAAAATAATAATAATAAATTTTTGTTTAGTTGTTGGTTTTTTTAATTATACTCAATTAGGCACCGCATTTGATAAGGGACGGCTTATAGGCTACACGAGTTTGCTGACGTAAAAAGTTAGCCAATAATAAGCAATGTAATAAGTTTCAATTATGCTTACTGTATATACTTTACTGTAATCAGTCGTATTCGAATAGTCAGTTATGAGAAACCACCGGACGTGACGTCAGTTAAAAATCGTGACGTTTACTCAGTCACGTGTCAGTTGTCTGAGAAGGAGAGCAGCATTTGACGTTGTCTAAATTCATAACATGATGATAATTTTATCATCAGCATTTCGTCATCGTCGGCTACTGTCCGTATAATAGAAACAAATTTCGATATTTTTCGCCATCTTACTCGTTAGCTAGAAAAACACGTTCATAAAAAGGAACTTCATTCAGATTATCCTCCCAGTTGACGTCAACGGAAAGTTTCCTTTGACGTCACTCGGTTAGATTCGACCGACAAGTCTATGACTTTTCGAATACGCCCACTTGTGTCTCGTTATATTGTATTCTTTGTAGACTATAATGGCGTTTATATAATCCATTTCAGATATTGTGACGCAGAATAAGACAACGCAACAAATGAGCGATTTGTCCATTTGTTGCGTTACCTTATCCTGTTACAGTCGACCCCACCTATAACACTGTTGATAATTCCGTGTTATATGAATTCCATGTTGTACGAGTCACTTAGATTTTACAAATACGTGTGCCGGGCTGTGAACGGCTCACGTATTTGTAAAAGCTAAGTGACTCGTACAACATGGAATTCATATAAAATGGAATTATCAACAGTGTTATAGGTGGGGTCGACTGTAACAGGATAAGGTAACGCAACAAATGGACAAATCGCTCATTTGTTGCGTTGTCTTATTCTGCGTCACAATATCTGAAATGGATTATATAAACGCCATTATAGTCTACAAAGAATACAATATAACGAGACACAAGTGGGCGTATTCGAAAAGTCATAGACTTGTCGGTCGAATCTAACCGAGTGACGTCAAAGGAAACTTTCCGTTGACGTCAACTGGGAGGATAATCTGAATGAAGTTCCTTTTTATGAACGTGTTTTTCTAGCTAACGAGTAAGATGGTGAAAAATATCGAAATTTGTTTCTATTATACGGACAGTAGCCGACGATGACGAAATGCTGATGATAAAATTATCATCATGTTATGAATTTAGACAACGTCAAATGCTGCTCTCCTTCTCAGACAACTGACACGTGACTGAGTAAACGTCACGATTTTTAACTGACGTCACGTCCGGTGGTTTCTCATAACTGACTATTCGAATACGACTGATTACAGTAAAGTATATACAGTAAGCATAATTGAAACTTATTACATTGCTTATTATTGGCTAACTTTTTACGTCAGCAAACTCGTGTAGCCTATAAGCCGTCCCTTATCAAATGCGGTGCCTAATTGAGTATAATTAAAAAAACCAACAACTAAACAAAAATTTATTATTATTATTTTAAAATGTTTTAAAATCAGCAATATTAAAGAAACGATCAGCAACATCTTTTTAAAAAACAAGAATAAAAATTTCCCTTTTTTTTCCCGAAGATTGGGGCAAATGAATTACAAAAAGCTAACGGTACTTTACCAAACTGTCAGTTTTATATATAAGAGATAATATTAATTTTCAACTTAAAAAATTAAGCATTTTTCTATAAAAATTTTATAGAAAAGCTAAAAATGAAGGCATAATCGATAAAAAACAGAAACGAAGACGAACATTGCCGCCATCTGTCGTCAAAGTTAACAACTACACCAGACCAAAACAAGATGGAAGCTGTGATACAAATACAGTGAATTTGATATGTTATCTCGCATTTGCCGGTTTCGTCTTGTGTTTATTAAAGATATATCATCTCAAAGGTAATCTTTCATTGTGCCATTTAACATAAAACGTTTTCTTCTTTAAACAACGGTACGACGCTTGCATACCAACGTGTTTTCCACGTGTTGTAATTGATTATTTAACACGTTTGTTATTATTTTTATGAATCAATTTCACAAATGTACGAATATTTTTCTTGTTTAAAAGCATTCTATTCTATTATATAAATATATATCAAAATGAAATGATTTCGACAGTGCACTACGCCATATTGATGCTTATTGCATCTTGCAATGAGTCATCCTCTCATTTTCATTGTATTTTAGGTTAGACTCAACCTAATTTTTTCTAAAATTCAATTAATTTCTCAAGAATTGCATAGGATAAACTATATAATAACTTGAAGTAATAAACCATTTAGATAGAATGTATAATATAGGATATGTATAATGACAATATATGTAATATAGGATATTCTATATGCTGTCATTATACATATATAACAAACAAGCATGCAAACATTTAAGACATAAAGAAGTGGGAGATAATTTATTTAAGCATAAATATTTTCGCAACTCTTGTTTTGCCACCTGATTTTTAGAAATCTGCCACATAACAAGGATTGTGCCATGGCCGGATGACTGATTGATTGGTTAAGGTGGCAGTCTATCGCTCTAGAGATCCAGGATCAAATCTGGATGGCTTGAAAAACCTTGGGAACTTTTTGGCGGGTGGTTGGTCCAAATATGTTCCTCGCTGTCTAGTCACTCCAGTGTTGGTCTGGTTAAACCTGTAATAGATTTGGTGGAAAGGCCCTCTTAGAAAGGAGTAAAAAACTATTATTAAATTTAAAATAGCATGTTTAAATTCTGAAGTTAATCATTTTTTTACATGATTGACTTCTGCTGTGCAATTGATGATGGAATGAACCAGTTCTGAAAATGTATTTATTATATTACATTCTCAAATAAACTATTTCTGGCTTCTTTATACCATAAATATGTTTGATTATTTACTTAAAGAATCAATTATGTTGAAGGAGATGTTCATAATTAAATTTACAATTATACATAATAACTTGAAGTAATGTACTTTTCAGATATATAAATTCTGTATATTCTTGTGTATTATATAATAAGGATATTCTGTTTAAATGTTTGAATATTCATAAATATATTACATGTATTTTGAATATATGTATATGTAGAATATATTCAAAATTTCAGATATATAAAATTTTATATATCTGAAATTTTCAAATTTTATTATTTCAAATTTTTAGCTTAAAAAATGTTAAATAGTAATTTATTTTTTTAAAAGAAGTGCATTAATTTTTATGCATCTTTTTATATGGTTAAATTTATAATTTACATCTCATAAATCATATATAAAATCAATTTTTTGTTTACTATTTAGTTTAATTGTTAAAAGAAATGAACCATTTCAAATAATAATAAAACTCATTAGTTTAATTGCAATAAAAAGTTTATACTTAAGCCATGATAAAGAATTGGATTTAGTTTTAAGCCAATGATCGGCAACCTTTTTTGTAACAAGAGCCAATTTTTTAAATTTTCAATAGAAACCAAATGCCAAGAGCTATGGGCTATGTAAATGAGAATGTCTTTAATACAATAGAATTGTAATTAGTGGCATATATATATTTTTTTTTTAAGGTGCAAACATAATAATTATTATTATGGTGAGTATTCTTAACTTAGCTAAATTGAGAATAAAAAATATTTGGCTAAGAGCTTTTATTACTTTTAGTTTTAACTGTGTTGTAATTGTTTTCTTTTCATTACTATTGCTTTTTTTTATATTGTCACATGGCATATGGAATGTTCTGTTTTAAAAAAGTTGCTCGAATAACATCGTTTGATTTATGGAAACATATTATAACCTGATGATCTCAGAAATTGATCAAAAACGTTAATTTTTTCTAATAAATGTACCTGCTGGAACCACTACATGTGTATGCAATTTATATTATTTTCCAACTTTTGAGGTGTTTTTATTGCTTTTTTTATTTAATATTATTATTTCAGTATATTCTTATCATCAATCTTTTTACACTTTGTTCTTTTACTAATACATTTTATATATATCATAAAAACAACATCCCAATACTGGTAATATTAATCAGATTCACTATGTCACAAAACCAATAAGCCAGCATAAAAATCTTTGAGAAGCAAATGTTTTCATCCATTTTTAAAAGAACATCCTCAGGTTGGTGTTCTAAAATTCAAATTGCACGTTTTCAGACTGGATCATATACTTTATGTAGTTGTTGATGATTGGAGGATATGATCAGTTCCAAAAACATGCAATTTGAATTTTAGAACACCAGCCTGAGGATGTCCTTTTAAAAATGGATGAAAACATTTTCTTCTCAAAATGAGTAGTTCTTTTATGCTTGTTCATTGGTTTTGTGATGTAGTGAATCTTGGATATTTTAAATAGTTGTTCATTGTAATAGAGATTTCACTTAAGATAGTATAATATAAAATTACAATAATTCTGTTAAGGATGGCTATATTTACAAACAGCATCTCTCCCATATTCACTTTGTATCAGTTTTCCCATTTACTTAGTAACATTTACTAGTCATAAACTTTTAAAAGAGATAAACAGATATACATTAGTAATGACTGTGTACTATGAAAAAAAGCTTCCTGACACAATAATGTTTAATACATTTAAATATGGTTGTGTCAGGAAGCTCTTTTTTTGAAAGCAATAGAAAATTGATCATGTGATATGAAAGTAGACGGTCATTAATGAAAAACTTGTTCTATCTCTAACCTATAAAGATATATTGTAATTTTGCTATAATTTTGCTATAATTAATAATTCACTGATTGTTCACCTGTAATAAGTTGAGAAGTTCTATATATTTAGAGAGTGGAATGGGAGATGCAGG